TGATACTGCCTCGGAAACCCAAGGAGGGGTCGCTATGAGTCGGGGCCGACTCAACGGCACACAACAACAACAACAAAGTCCTGCATCATGTTCTCCATTCTGGCATGTTCAAGTTCATTGTTGTGGCCTCTGTGCTAACCTGTCTCACCAAGGGTCTCCCTTGCCCTCGTTGGACCTGTACTTCACCAAACATGATGTCCTTCTGCTGGCATGTTGAAAGCCAGGGGGTCAGACAGTGTTCTGTTGGAATCCGTACAGGTTCTGTTGGCTGTGCTCTGTGGGATCCATACAGTTTCCATTGGCTGCGCTCTGTTGGGATCCATGAGGGAGTCAGACAGTGCTCTGTGGCATCCGTGCGGGTTCCATTGGCTGATATGCAGAAGCAGGTTACCCGGCCTTTCTTCCTGGTCTGTCTTGGCCCGGAAGCTCTGCTGGAACCACCTGTCCACCATGCTGGTCTTAGAAACACCTGTGGTGTAGGTCCCAGCATCGTGCAGGCTACACCAGATGGCAGACTGACAGGTGGAGCAAACTAATAGCTACTGCTTTCAAAGTCATCAGAGAATGACACACGCCACCTCTTCGGGTGAAGAATATTGACTACATCCAGGGCTGCTGGAAGAACAAGCAAACTTGTCCTGGAGAAAGTGCACCTGAAATGCTCCTTGGAAGCGAGAATGGACAGACTTCGTCTCACCTACTTTGGTCCTGTTGTCAGAAGGGACCATTCTCTGGAGAAGGATGTCCTGCGTGGTAGGGTGGAGGGTCAACGGAAGAGGGGAAAGCCCCGAAGAGATGGATTGACACGGAGGCTACAACGATGGGCTCAAGCACAGCAGGATTGTGAGGCTGACGCAGGCCTGGGCAGCCTTTCTTTCCACTGTAAACAGGGTGGCTGAGTCGGGACGGACTGGGCAGCATCTAACAACAAGCTCTTCAAGGGAAGAGTGTTTTGAACACTGGCGGTTGAATTATCATTTAACTCATAAATATCTGTGGTCTGCGGTGTTTTTTTTCAATTACTTTCTGATTTATATATTACTGCTGACATGTCTGTACTGAAATAAAAAACCAGAAGAAGAACCACTCACTCATCCCTTTCATTTTGATGCTGGTAATTTGTCCATGATCGCAAAGGGTGACAGATTCACGAGACACTTTGTCCTGTACTTTGATTGACTTCTGAGAGCCTTGGGAAATGTACTGTTATGTCATCCCAGGAGGGGACCAGGCTTGCTGGTCCGATAGAACCTGGTGGAACCACTAAGACTATGGGCCCTAGCTGCCCTTCAGGTCACACCTGTGGCTTCCAGCCAAACGAAAGACAGGCATATGAGCTGAACATTTACATCAGGTAGCTATACTCCTTGGAGAGAACAATCATGGGAGAAGGAAGGACTGCTTATGTACAGGGAGACAGTTCAGGGGGCAGGAGTGCATGGAGGGATGGGCACAGGGAACTATGGGGAGGAAGCGGGGGGGGCTGTTGCATTGTGGGAAATGGCAGTCAATGTCATGAGACAAAGTGTATGTGAACTGCTGTATGGAAAGTGAATTTGCTCTGTAAACTTCCACCCAAATCACAATTAAAAAAATAAATAAGTATGCAACTAACAATAATGTTCCCTATCAAGAGGGGAAAAATTGTTGTTTGCTTTAGGTTGTTGTGTTTCATTAAATTATCCAGAGAGTAAAAGGAAAAATAATTAAATTATGAGCATAGACATTCCAGTCAATTATACCAACAGGTTAAACTTGTTAAACACTTGCACATGTCTTTAATTTTGGACTTATGAACTTATCGTTCTCCCATGAAAAGTTTTTAGTTAAACTAGAACCAAACTCACTGTCATCAAGTCGATTCTAACTCATAGTGAACACCATTGGGTGTCTGAGGCTATAAATCTTTACAGAAGTAGATTGCCCCATATACCTTCCACAGAGCAGTGATGGGTTTGAACCACTGACCTTCTGGTTAGCAGCCATGTGCCTTATCCACTCTGCCACTAGAGCTCCTTTAAGTTTTTAATTACTAGTGATGATTTCAAAAGACGATGAGTGGTGTGTGACATTAACGAGTGTTTTCTTCTCCAGCATGTAGCTTCCCTAAAGGAGTCTGACAGTCATCAAATCCATAATGAAATCTGGTTTATGTGTTATTTTAGGTCTCTTAAGAAAAACAAAATCCACAGTCTTCCAGATAAAGTTTTCGTCAAGTATACAGAACTTAAAAACATGTAAGTATTTTTTGAGAGCATTCTTAATCAGTCACCCTTGTAATGTTTTGCTTAAAACGTTTTTTGATCTAAAAGTAAAATGAAAGATAAAGGTGATTAACTTTATCGTTATATTTATTTTCCTAAATGCACTAAATATTAAGATGAGAGATTGAATCATTTAAAAATACATTATCTTTCCATTTCCTAATTTAAAGTAGCTGAATTGATTTTGTTTCAACTGTTTTAGAGAGCTAAATGGGAGTTGAGATCGAACATCACAATTTGAAATAAATAAATAAATAATATTTCTCAAAGTCGTCTTTAAGCCAAAAATAGCTTCTTACATTCATAGTCAGGTGTGTCTGCTTTGAGCATTGTGCGCTTTTCAAGAACTGTCTCTGTGAGGTCCAATTGACGATGGCAACTCAAAAGGTTAGATGAGACGCTTAGGGGCAATGAGTTGAAAAGGATGGTGGTGGGAAAATGTGGGCAAGGGTGGAAGGAATGACAGCACAGTTGAAGAATGTGACTGATGTCACCGAGCTGTTTGCGTAGAGGTGGTTTGAGATGGTGTCTCGTTGGCTGTGTAGACTTTCACCAAAAACTATAAAGAAGACAGAAAAAGTTCCACACTTTCACTCAACACTAATTTAAAAAATGGCAATGAAGATTCAGGGCAGTTGGTTCACTTGATAACTTGGAAGAAGAGTTTTAGCATGGAAATCGTGTAAAATGTGTACTGATTGAATGCGGCTGACTCCCTGGGTAATAGGATGAAGCATGATTATAGCTAAAGCAGCGATAGGAAATATATGATGATAGAAAATACCCATAATTAGGGCAGGGCCAGCAGCTGAAAATGGTACCCATGAGTTCTCTTGATGGCTTTACTTCCAGTGAGCTTGTTGATTCCATAACAAATGAGTCATTGCTGCATCTTGTCCTCTCCATCCTGTCCTGGTAGACGGGACGTTTGAGAGCTAGGTGTCATCAATGAATTCATCCTTCTTAAGCTTTGTTCTAACGTGTTCTGGTAGCACAGTGATTAAAGCATTTGGCTGCTAAGCTAAAGGTTAGTGGTTAGAACCCACCAGCCACATTGTGGGAGAAAGATGTGGCAGTCGGCTTCCAGAAAGACTGATAGCCTTGGAAACCCTCTGGTGCCGTTCCACTCTGTCCTCTAGGGGTGCTGTGGGTCAGAATTGACTCCACGGCAGTAGGTGTGGTTCGGGCTTTGCTTCTGTGAAGACTGACAGCCTGGGAAACCCTGTGGGCAGTTCCACTCTGTCCTCTAGGGGCGCTGTGGGTCAGAATTGACTCCATGGCAGTAGGTGTGGTTCAGGCTTTGCTTCTGTGAAGATTGACAGCCTTGGAGACCCTGTGGTGCAGTTCCACTCTGTCCTCTAGGGGTGCTGTGAGTCAGAATGGACTCCAGGGAAGTGGGTGTGGTTTGGACTTTGCTTCTGTGAAGATTGACAGCCTTGGAAACCCTGTGGGGCAGTTCCACTCTGTCCTCTAGGGGCGCTGTGGGTCAGAATGGACTCCAGGGCAGTAGGTAAATTTCATGCTAGATCCCTGATGGTGCAGTGGTTAAATGCTTACTTGCTAAGAGAAAGATCAGCACTTTGAACCCATCAGCTGCTGTGTAGGAGGATACACTCTGCTTCCGTAACGATTACAGCCTTGGAAACCCTATGGGGAAGTTCTTCTCTGTCCTTCAGGGTCATTGTGAATCAGAAACAACTTGACAGCAATAGATTTGGTTTGGCTGATTTAAGCTTCATCCTGTTAGGTTCAATTTTTATCATCAGATTGTCAAGATCATCTTGGATGAGGCAACATTACCTATTCCTCCCAGCTTCCTGTCATCTGAAAAGAAGATGGATATCTTTATCCAAGTCATAGAAGAAAATATTGAAAAGAACAGGGCAAAATCATCTTCCCAGATCACTTCATCGTCATCCTTCAGAAAAGGATGTATGCCATTCTTTATTTTCTCCATAAAAACATCATAAAACCACTTCATCGATGCCTGATAGCTATACAGGCAATGTCTGTCTTACAGAGATGGAAACGAGGTTGCTTTGGTGTGTCTTGCTCCTTGTGAACTGTCAACTTCATTTTCCTTTGAGATGCTCACAGACAGAGATCATATTAGCCTGTTCCGTGATCCTGTCCAGAACTAGACTGAGCTCATCTAACTATAAACCCACTGCCTTGGAGTCGATTCTGACTCACAGCGCCCCTAGAGGACAGAGTGGAACTGCCCCACAGGGT